AATCTAACACCACGGCCCAGCAACAAATCTTTTCATAAAGGTCATTGCTGTAATAGTTTTTTTAAAGAGATGCTGATTCAACTTCATGTTTATTTTGGAGGCTGTAGTTTGTCATGCTCTTGAACTGTGTTGTGTTTGTAAAGAGTTTTTAAAGATTTTATCCACCCACATTATAACCTTCATGCATGTTAGATTAGTTGCAGGGTTGTTTTATTAGACTACATAAGCTGTGGCTAATAAACCAGTTACTAGTGACACTGTGATATTTGTAGTGAAGGATCATCTTTCGCTGTGTAAAATTGCTAACCCTGCATATATCTTCCACATTTTCTCCAGGGTTACCTCCCAGAGAGCATGTTTGACAGGATCCTGACAGGACCCATAGTTCCTGAGGAGGTGAGTCGACGTGGACGTCGACCTAAGAATCCTTTGGCCAAGGCGGCAGCGGCGGCGGCGGCGGCGGCGGCAGCAACACCAACACCCAACCCAGCAACCTCCGCTCTTAGTCTGAACCCCCTGATGGCCAACGGTCTTCTCTCTGGGATGGACCTGTCCAGCCTGCAGGCCTTCCAGCAAAACCTCCAGAGCTTGCAGTCCCTGCAGCTCACCGCGGGCCTAATGGGGCTGCCGTCAGACGCGAGCAACCTGGCTGCAAGTAACTTAGCTGCCATGTTTCCCATGATGCTGTCTGGTATGGCTGGATTGCCAAACCTGCTTGGCATGGGCAGCATGCTTGGGAAGCCTGCTCAGGAAGGCACCGGAGGCTCTGACGAGATGGCAAAGGGAACCGCCAGTGGCATAATAGGAGAGCCGTCTGCCTCTAAAGGCCCCTCTCACACTTCACACACCAAAGGAGAAAGGACAGAGGGCTCGAACACGACTCCTTCCTCCACTTCCAGCTCCACTTCCTCTGCCACCGCCCCACAAAGTGCTTCAGCTGCCTCTGCAGCCTCCAGTCACTCACTGTCTCTTAACCCCTTGTTACTCTCCAGTATGCTTTACCCAGGGATGCTTCTCACTCCAGGCCTTAACCTTCCTGTGGCTGCCACACAGCTGCAGAGCTCAAACAGTGACCCCACCCTTCCTCCTGCTCCTCCTCCTCCGGCAGTCTCCCAGTCATCGCCCCAGGAGACAGAGCGGCCAGCGGCAGAGAATGACGAGGCGTTGGAAGAGGCTTTGGACGAAGAGGAAGAGGAGGAGGAGGAGGAGTCAGCAGAACAAAAAGAGAACAGTGGTCCTGAAGGTTCGGGGAAAGCAGAGTCATCTTCATCAGAGTCTGGAAGCTCTTCTTCCTCATCAGAAGATTCAGACTCTAGTGATGAGGACTGATGAATGAATATATAATTATAAATTTATTTATGTATCGCCTAGAAATGTATACATATATTCACTTATATATGGATTTTCCAGCACTTATGTTGCGATTTCTTTACATGTAAATATAAGAACTAACTAAAATGTTGTGTAATAAAGACTACAAAAACCTTTAAAAAAAAAACAGGAAAAACTGACGTATAAAGAACTGAAATAAAATTTCAGTTTTTGTTCACAAGGTACAGTCTTGTTTTGAGACATTTTGCATGTCAGACTTTAGTAGATTTCTGAACTCTGTGAACTTGTACCACACAATTATGTACAATTGCAACAAAAAAGGCATTATTGTAATTATGTCAGGATTTAATTTTATTAAAAAAGTGAAACTACATGAACATGCTCGTTGAGCTGTACTATTAATATATTTTGATTGTTGGGGTTTGGGGCAATGACACTTGACAAACACCTTGGTTTCTCTTGTATATAGTCAGTACTTTTACAAGTTGGTTGACACTTTTGCTTTGCAGATCATACGTTGGATATGTCAGCAATAACTTGGGCAGCTAATGAATGTCACTGAAGCTGTAGATTCTCTGTCTGCCATGTTCCACCCCAGTGCACCAACTCGCGCAGCTTCACTTAACTGTCACTTACCTTCATATCACGTTGAAGAGTTCATTTCTGCATTTTGTCCACATCCTGTTTGGAAACAGAATTACCTGAAGCTCCTCTCTTTAAGTAGTGTTTCACTTTTGGGGGAAATCTAAAGAAGTATTTTTTTTCAAGCACATAAGCTGAAATCCTTTTGAAATGGATCAGAATTTAATCTTCTGCTGTAATGTCAAATTTTCTCCTCATTTCCACCGTCACCTTACAAACATGTCGCAACATGTCCAAGGCGCACTTTAGCTACTCCCAGTAGGCATACACGTTCACTTGCACATCTGTTAATTTTTGACTACAGTGTCGGAGTCTAATAAACTCCTTGAGCTGTGAGGACAGAAGACTGTGTGCCAAAAACTGCCCTTTGACCCTTTTGAGGTCCTGACAGAGTTTTGTGGTCTGTGTGTAGAGGAAGAATTCAAGGATTCTTGACTATATGGATATTATTACTACAACCCCGGCGTATTTGACTGCATCTTACCTCAACTGTGCTAAATGGATTGTCTTCACTGTGCAGATGTGCATGGGTGTGTTTTCTCGCTGTCCATGTGTGTAACGTCCCTGTCTCTGCTGGAATGTGTCTGTAAGAGGCCTTTTTTGTTTTTTTGTTTTTTTTACTGAGAGCTTCCACTGTGTTTTGTTTAGCTGGACTGCTCCTCTCACCTGGTATCTACCACTTCCATAACTTTCCAGTCTGAAGATTGTCTTAAGGAGGGGGCCTTGCAAGCTATGACTAGTAGAAAACACACCACATGTGTTTTTGACCTTCAGTTTTTGTCATTAGAAATTTGGAGGAAAATGTCCTTCGGATTCTGTGTTACACGACCACCTGACTACCAAAGTCTTACAAAATATAACATGGCACAAGCACAAACTAGTTCAAATCCTGGCTAAGATTGTAGTAATTGTCATCGTCTTTGAGTATTAAATTTTACAGTGCCAGACAGGCTACCTTTAGGAAGGGCTAAATATAAAAGAAACTAGCAGCTTGCGTTGGTTGGTTGTGTGCGTTTCACCTCGATTCTGTTTTCCTGATGAATGGAGCTTCAGCTAGATGTAGAAGTGCCCTTATCCTGTACCTCACTCTCTCATTCAGCTTCTGTCCAACACACTAACCGCTCAGATAATCTGCTTGGTGTCCATTGCTTGTGCATCCTGTCCATCATCTCTGCACACGTTCACGCTTAGCCGTAACCAGGACACACGTAAACACTGGAGTTCACTCAAGCCGAAGTACCTTTTTCTAACTTTCTCTGGCACAACAGTACGCTCGCTCTAGGACTGCTGTTACACAGTGGACTGTTAGATACACGTTTCAAAATGATTTCTGAGGTGAGGTTTTTGTTTTAACTCGGGGGACAACAGAGTGCCCCCCCCCTCCCCCCTCACACCTTGTGTGTTGGATAAACCCACTGAATTAACTCAAGTCTGTTTAGTTCTTAAGTATTGCTGTAGCATCGTTCTCTAGTGGGTGAAACCATGAACAGCCCAATGGCTAAAGACACGTCTGATTTCTAATGTTGCTTTAAAGTGTTTTTCTTGTATGCCTGTTATATATATATATATGACCTTGTTATGAGTTTTGCTTGCAAAGCTATTGCATTTTTTTTATATTATTACTAACAGTACAGTATTTTTCTATGTATGAGCAATGAACTTAAACATGCCACTGTCATTTTGTATATCTGCACCTCTGCTCTCTTTAAACATGTAGTGCCCTTATACAAACACCCAGCCATCGCTTCTTACGCTGTAAGTGACTGATCTAACGACTTTGTGTTGCCCCACAGCAATGGGTTTATGGATTGATGACTGTGCTGATCCTCTGTAGGACACAAATGAGGGGGAAGAAATGGTAGACATAAGATTGGACTTTTAGCTTTTATTTTGCTTCACTTTCATTTTTGTTTTCTCTAGGTTGTACTGTACAAGGACTCCAAAAGCACTGCTAGTGCTAGAGAAGCAGTGTTGAATCTGCGTTAAACACAGACACAAGTAAACAATGACCAATATGCAAGAGGAATGACAACACGCACTACTGCTGTACTTTCAGTTTTCATACGTGTAAATCACTGAGATGACAAAACTAGCATCAATGGTATTGTATTTTTACTTCAGGCTTGATAATATCCTAAATGTCACCCTGGTTAGTTCTTGTCTCTTTTTTTGTTTTTCTTTTTTGTCATTGGACAGTTGTAATATTTGCAAGTTGTGGTCTATGTAGTCAAAATAATTCTTTATGTAGTGCAGGAAAACACGTCTTAAAAGTCATTTGTAATTTATTGGATTACTTTCTATGAAGTTCTATAGAGGAAATTGAGGTTTAATTATTTTTATTAAACATTATTCTTCTGACTATCAATTAAGTGTGCCTGTTGCTTTGTCTGGGGGCTTTATTCTTTCTTGCGGTCTCCACACTGGTGCTCACTCTAGAGAGCAGATTCAGTGGCACTGTACAGGTCAGTGGGCGAAGTCTGTGAGATGTGAAGTGAGCTGAGATGAAAGCACTTTTTCTTAGTGTAAAATTCCACAGTGGCAGAAAATAAACTGGGCTTGCTTAAATTTAGTGGTGGCTAAAGCAGTGGCTACTAGCATAACATCAATATTCAGAGTGCAAGAAGCAAAAAGGAACACTGTAGGGTTCTCTCAGTGCTAATTGTAGCTATTGTGAAGCACCTAACAACATAAATACTGTATACAAGTTTTGAAAAATTATGTTTAATCTTAAATACATCTAGAAATACTTAATTGGTTGATGTGGCCAACATTTTTGAAAATTATATTGGCAGCTTTGATCATTCATATAATACATTTCCCTAATTTTCTTAACCAACCCTGCAAGCTTATAAACAGTGTGTTGGCCAGACACCAGTGCATAAACACAGCTGAACAGCCTTGTTAAAGGCAAGAGTTAAAAAGATTTTCCCCTTTACTGTAGGTCTTCCATTCCTCCTCTTGGTGGCGCTCAGGGGCCTGTGTAAGTCACTCCTACAGCACAACTGCTCAGGCCTGATCATAGCAACCACACACAGATGACAAGTTGGGGCTTGTCTGCTGCTCAGAGAAGGCCAATGTTCTGAACTTCCTTAGTCTGCAGAGCAGCAGGTTGACTGCTCTGAGCCGTGCTGCACCTCTCCACTGCTGCAAGGCGGGCATTAGATAAGAGACATACAGAGGATTCTTGGATCAGAAGACCCTCAATCTGGCTCTTGTACTCACCACAAACACTCAAGTGACAGACACTGGTAAGTGGCTTTCAACCTGTTTATGACTTTAGTTGTATTTGTGGAAAGTTCAACTTAGATGATGTGGCTGACAAACTGCATGAAAAGTCAGCTGACAGTAATAGTAACACTGCCATCATCCACCTCTGCAGTTAATAAGTGACTATTTTATGGAGCTCTGATGCAGCTGGCCCTTACTGCACTGGACAATGACATTTTATTGATCAAAAACAACATTAATTCATAATGCGCTAAAGTGCCATTTAAATGCTTAGCACGTGTCTGAAAGTGAAAGTAAGGCCTATTTTGATGGTACTTGTGTCAGTGAAGGCCAGTCTGGAGAGAAACAGGAAATGGGTGTAACCCATAAGAATTGGCAACAGATTACGCAGTATTCAATTTTTTTGTTTACAGACATTACTGAGTTTCCAGAAAAACAACAAAGCAAATATGTGGTGCTGTATATGTTGAATATGGAAAGTTATAATGCATAGACATGTTGTTTTACAAATTACACTACAGGCAAAAGACAGAACAAATGAAGCATGACAGGTTTGAGACTTGTCCAAATTAAAAAACTAAACATGAGTCATTTTTTGCGTTTGTTTCAGTCCATTTTAGCTCTTTTCTGTAGACAATATGTGCTTTTGACTGGCATTCCTGTGGTATTCTGGGACTCATGACACCAGCAGCCCTTTGTAAAGACGCATTAACCCATCTGTTGTCAAAGGAAGATTAACAAAGATTTCTTGACAAAACAGGGCATTTCTAATCAGATAATGAATGGTCAACATGAATAGATATGAGTAAGATAGTGTGCATAGGCCTACTGATTCTTTCAAGTTCATGTTTGTCTGTATTAGTTGTAGGTTTTGTCTTGCTACAGTGCAAGGTCTCAAACCTGCAGCTGTGGAAATGAGTCAGAAAACCATTTTTTTTGTTGTTTTTTGACTGATTAAGAATAACATGGCATATAAATGTAATGTCTGCACTCCTGAATGCAGTATTTGAAGTTAAGTGTGTCTGAAAGCTGTTTAACTTGTGAGGAAATAAGTAATGCTTTGTCTTTTATACTGTATGAGCCAGTGTTTCTTCTCTCTGTGCTTTATACTGATACATGTTGTAGTGTTTTAGTTGGCACTAGACCAAAAGAAAAAAACAGCCTATTTGATCCCAAATTATTCAAATACTACAATAAAAGGTAATGAAAAGATGAAAGGATTTTCTCTCTCTGTTCGCCTCTTCTATTCCTTTTGAACTCTTTATTCAGTAAAAAATATTTTTATCCACATCTACAATATACATGCTCCTACCAGTTTTTCTTAAAATCAAGATACTTAATCTCATCATAATTAACGTGGTCAAATATTCGCTAACCTGTGGATCTTAGGTTATGGGCACACGAGGAGCCCATTAATGTTCACAATAAAATCCTGAAATCCTCTCTGCGCAAGCTTGAACTTTGCCTGAGGTAGCAGATAAATGAGCTGCAATAATGACCAAGAATCACTGCCATTAACAACTTCATTTAGATCATCACGAGATAAAAGGGACCTTATCTTGGCAATGTGTCAAGATATATGAACGAAGCAAGAGTGAACAACCGTTGCACCTGAGCATTAAAACAAAGGTTAGAATCAAATAATCCTGAATTTATGCTACTGTGAGGTTTGAACCAGAGTAACGCTGTGTGTCATGGGTGGAAGAAACTATTTCAGACCGGAACAAAATTGCTTAACTAATGAAGCTGTGAAGTAGGGCAGAACAATTCAACAAAAAGCTTACATTTTACATGTGGCCTGCAGGAAAATTCATTCAAAGTAACATCCATCCATCCATCCACCATCGTCAACCACTTATCCTGTGTACAGAGTCGCGGGGAGCCAATCCCAGCTGGCACCGGGCGAGAAAAATACCATTTTAAATTAAATATTTCCGTGCTGCAGAGATGTCCTAGCCAACACATCATAATCTAGAGACTTAAGAAAACATCTTTGTTTTAGGATACAGATCCAAGCAAAAATCACACCGTAATTCATTTTAATATGATTTTCTATAAAAATGAGAATAATAATGTAAAAATTGTAATTTCCCCTTTAGTATCGCAAATTGCATTATCAGTCAAAATGGTAGCAATTTGATATTTCTTCATAATCATTCTGTCCTACTGTGAAGCCACATTTCCTTGAACAAAGAAGAGTAATTCAGGAAGTGATGCTGTTATACCAGCGTGTGTGTGTGTGTGTGTGTGTGTGTCAGTGTGTGTCAGTGTGAGAGTAGACTAAGCCATGTTATAGTAAGTATGAAAGTCTCTGGGGTTATTTACATTAAGACAGCTAGACTTAATGTAACTATTACAATTACCTCCCACAGAAAGAAAATAACTGTTTTTTCATTTGGAAAACTCAGCTTTATGGGCATGAATGTTTAGGTAAACAATGTTGCCAAACCAAGCAAATTATTATTATTGATTTATTAATATAAGTGTCCTGCGCAAATGGTCCTGACAGTCTCTCGGCACATGTTTCCTTCTCTCTATCTCATTCACGTGTGTATCACTGTAGACTAAGGCCTGTCTGACTCAGAGAGAACAGCAACCCAGAACGATAACCAGCACATATGGGAATGATTAGAGGAACCGAGTCTCCTAGACAGAGGAGGGGAACAAACACACAAATCTAAACTGAAATGGTCAAGGTAGAACGGGGCCTTTACCAGTGGAGGGTGGAGTCTGTTACAAGCTGAAGAAGGTGGAGATTACTGAGATATGTTTTTCACATTGTACAGCCAGGGACACAAACTAGCTAGAATGATCTTATTTGCCAAGCCCCATTACTGCTGTGGCTGTGAGGTGAAACCGTGCTTGTTTAATTAATCTAATCGCCGCTTACGGACACGAGTCTTCTGGGGCATCTAAGCTGTTTCTATTGTTACACGCTCAAAACGACAGTCAGCAGTCTCCTTTCTGCCAGGATGGAGCGGCAGTCCATGTTTGAGGAAGTTTTCCTATCTGAGATGTACAGGAAGACACGTGACTCATCAGAACTGCCTGCTGAGTCCAGGACATAGGGAAGAAATTATTCAGTTAAATGAACAGCATAGAGGCGCCGAGGCCATCATTAAGCCGTTACATTGTCAAGATTTTAGTTTTCTAATATATTTAACCCAGACTGCAGGCTTTGACATTTTGGGAAACGCACCTATTCTTTTTCCTGCTGAGAAGATTTTTAATCTTCTCTGGCAGCACTTCCATCTGTTCCTGTGGTTTTGGTGCACACAGTTTCTAGTGTGACTGTCTTTAGTGATCTGACTGACATCAAGTGAAGATTTTTTTTATGAAAATATGACATATTTTGTATTTATTGTTTGACTTAAGTTAGTCACTGATTGTACTGCACTGCAAGGTCTCATGTGCCCTAATTGTTGCCTATGTCAATGTTTCAATGTTCTTTTCCTTGTTTAGGTGCCCGTTCCTGCTCTCTTCCTGTGTGGAGTTCACCATGGCAACCAAGCCTCAGGGTAACCTGGGAAAGCCAAGGTTTGGTCCCAGTGACCACCTGATCACTATGTTCAGGTTAGCAATGCAGTCTCACCGTGTTACTCACACAGTGGCCATTTTGTTTGTATGAACTTATCTACTACAGACATCTTTGTAGTTATGTAAGTTTACAGACAAAGCTACTGATACCGCTAGCTACAATAAATCATAACAGACCTTAAATACGTCATCATGGCTACTAACTGTATTTAGCTTCTAGTGTAAAACGGCACACAGGGTAAGTTTGCATTGAGTCAAAGGCTTGTTTCACTATGTGTAAACTTCATGTTTAGTTGAGGAGGTTTCTGTTTGATCTTTAAATGCTTTAAGATAGCTTCTACTATTGTAGTGAGGGCTTTTGAAAACCTTCTGTGTACTTTCATTTTATTTTCAAATGTTTTCCAACCAACAATTCGTGTTCATTTAACTGCTATGCTAATTACTATGATTCCTCTGATCCAGGGCGTGCTCCAGAGATCCAACTGAGGCCATTGAAGCCAGACTGAAATGTATGCTGCTCACTTTTCTGCAACACTTGAGGGACAATGCAGGAAATGAGAAGACCAACGGTATACTAACATATTCAATGATCCTCAAACAACGGGATGAAGGGATGTATGAATATTAAATAATAATACACTTTATTTATATAGCACAAATGAAGGCTGTCATTCGAATATACGGAACACTATATAAGGAACACTGTAACCTTATGTTCAATATTTCTTGAGGACAGATCATTACTGCCTTTACAGTGTTACTGGTTTCTTGCCTGGAATTTTATGAAGGGCAAGCAGAACACATTTTTAATATTTACTAGCTTTATCAGAAGCAACAACGTCTCTTTGAGCACAGCAGGAAATCACTGTCTGCTCACCCACAGTATTTTAAAGCCCTACATGATTAGAGAGCTGGCTGTATTTTAATGACAGGTATCAACTTCTGGAATAAAGCCCTTTTGTTGTTGATACATGTCACATATAATCCATGTGATATTGTTTACAGAGCTGGCAACAAAGTGCTGCTGTGAAGCCAGGATCTGGTATTACAGGATCCTAGAGAACCACGCCAGTCAAGAGAGGAAAAGGTTGGGGATCAGTGACATCTCAGTGAGTGTGCTGTCCTCCTGTGGCCACAGCTGGAACTAATGTCTGACAAACATCTTTTCTGCACATGACATGTGTGAACAGTCACAGAGTGATGTCCGTGTTTATGTCCTTCTTGAGCCTTTTTAAAATCAAAGTTTTGATCTCTATGAAATTTTTTTAATTGCTGTTTTGAAGTAACTCTCTCGTGCTTGTGATGTGAATGTGTTCGTCGCAGTTCATCTTAGAGAATGATCTTCTCCAGCGCTGCCTGGTGGCCTGTTGTCTGGAGATTACCATATCCTCAAATTGTCTACCATGTGACTTCCCTCTGGTCCTTCAGGTCTTCAAACTGGCACCATTCCACTTCTATAAGGTGTATTTCCAAGCTTGTTAGCCCGATATACACATGTGTGCATGTAATAGACATCCAATGAATATACAGATGTCAATTCAATATCAAAAAGTGTTTGGGGTACACAACTAAACGGTTAACTTGATTTCACTATGTAAGAATCAAATCTGTCACTTTTTGTAAGTTAATAAATCAATCAATAAGTCTCAACTCCAAACAAAAATCTGTGATGTCAACTTTTATGGGGATCACTAGGGACAGAAATGTGAAAATGTGGTTACATTCCTGCCTCGTGGGAAGTCTGAGATCCAACGTCCCTGCCATCTCTAAATTTGAGGATACATCTGTCCTCCATTTTGTTTTTGCTATGGTCTGACAGGTGATTGAGCCGGTGGTGCGGGCTGAAGCGGGCCTGCCTCGCACTGTGGTCAGACACCTCGCTCAAGTGGAAGAACAAGTTCTGGAGAGCTTGGCCTGGACCAGCGACTCACCGCTGTGGGAAGAAATCAGAGCCAATGAGGGCCATATGCCGACCTGCCAACAGGTTGGCAATAACACACAAAAACACTACACTTGGCACCAGGAGTTATCTAAGATTTGATATTCAAGTTTCTTCCAAGGTGATGCTGGTGACAATTTGTGATTTAAATTAAATAAAAAAATGATTAAAATGTGGAATAATGATGATCGTATGCAGGTGACGCCTCCTACGTGGCTTGAAGATCCAAAGAGAACAGACTTGCAACAAGTCAGAAATCTGCCAGGAGGTATATATGCAGTGTATTAAACCCACTTTTTGATTACATAACTGAAATTGTATAGCATTTAATACATTTATAATACATTCCTAAATTTCATAATACTCCATTGCAAATAGGCTACAGTATTCTTAATACGGATTCACTTGTCAATTCTGTTTTTGCCAGAGGGTCTCAGAGCTGAACTATCTGCTGGCACTGACCAACAGCATTCCCCATCAGCTGGAAACAGGCCTCGGAGAAACAACTCCCTCCACCTGTTTGCTCGCAAGGTCAGTTAATCTGCCACACCATAACACTCTCCTAGTCTGTAAAACAATATTATGAATCTACAAGAAGTATAAAGTGGCTGAAATGACAAATTGATTCAGCACTGTAAATGTACTGCATACATGATAGTTCTATTGTTTATATATAATTATCATGTCTTTTTTTCCCACATCCCCCTTGTTTATGTGATTTCTGTTTTGTGTGGTCATGTTTTCTCTCTGCCTCAGGTTTACAGCTTGATGGGCAAGCGTCTGAGGGAGCTGTGTTCCACACTGGACATTTCTGATGAGCTGCGGTTGAAGATCTGGACCTGTTTTGAGCACTCATTGGTCCACTGCACTGACCTCATGGTAGACCGTCACCTGGACCAACTGCTCATGTGCGCCATTTACATCATGGCTAAGGTGGGCATTGCTATATCCGAGGGAAGCCCCAGCACGTTTGATGCTCATCTGTTGATTTGTCAAACACTGGTATATATTCCCTGATGCAGTTAATGTCACCTGCACCAACATTCTCATATACCTGATGATGATAACAATCCCATAAGAATAAGAAGCACACTGTATCATTCTATTACACTGTAACCCCTTACAAAGTGTTCTGGTCAGTGACACTGTGTGATTGAGCAACAACAAACTTCTATATTTTTAAGCATCTTTTATTTTATATAGGACATAATCCTTGATAAATTATTAACCTATATTTGTCTTGCTTTTACAGATAACCAAGGTGGAGATACCCTTCAAATACATAATGAAGTGCTACAAATCTCAGCCACTTGCCTCAAAAAGTGTACGTTCTTTTTCTTTTTGATTATTCCTGCTGTCTCTTTACAATGCAACTGGATCTGCTCTGAATGGACAAAATATAGGAAAAGACTCAAGCCACTTCACAATCAGTCATTTTTGACCCATAAGCAGCAGTGTAGTTAATACATAGTCCTGAAGTCAGTACACTTTCATCTCAGGAAGCGGATTTATATTCAAATTTTGTTTTGAATGTTTTGGCAATTAAGTTATTTAAAGGGTGTTTGGGTTTATGTGTGTTATGACTATATTGGTTCAATAGTTATGAATGCCGACAATTTCTGTTCTCAGGTCTGCAAAAATGTGCTGATTTCCGGAAAAGAGAAAAAGTCTCTCACTGAAAACAACAGTAAGAAACCCTTGAGTAAGAAAATGTATTCTTTACAGCTGGACTCACCAACATCAGAGCATCTCCAGCATCATGTTAGAGAATTCAGAGGAGGAGAAATTAAACTGCCTTCTGGCTCTACCCCCAACATGTTCCCTTTCACTGAACTGCTTTAGGTATCATAGGCTCAGCCATAAGTCATAAGTATTTCTGTATGTAGCCAGAGAGCTACATTATAGCAGTGCCCCATCGCACAACAAATTAAACACACCAAGTTACCAGAATAACTCCCAATAAATTACCTGCATTGTATCAGTAATGATGGAGGACTCAGTGTACTGTGATTCCACAATGAGAAGTGAGCATTTATCACATTTTTGATTACAGATAATGGAGACAACAACGACAGTATCCCGACCCCCAACACACCATCAACACATTATCCAGGACCTGATCAGGAGGAGAGGGGCAATCTTATTTACTTTTACAACCAGGTCTACTCAACAAGGATGCAGTCCTTTGCCAAGCAGTTTGCCCTGACCCCTGGAGTAAGTCAACCATTTTAACCATTCTGAATTTGGGCGGAGTTTGAACAAACTGAGCAAGAAGACAAGCCAAATTCATGGATATGTCACTTCATCTCATATAATGAGATTTTCTAACATACGCTGTGTCACTCTTGTGTAGGGAGACACTCCTCCTTTGTCTCCTTACCCCCGACAGTGGAAAGCGTCTCCTCGCAGACAGAGGCTGTCCAGCAGCCACTCCATCTACATTTCACCATACAACACAGGGACCCCTCCACCACGCACACACGGACTCTGCTACTACTTCAACTCCAGCCCCTCAGAGGTCTGTGGACAGAGTTTTGGAAACCTTTTTCTAGCCATCAAATTGTCATCTTGAAATGATATTATTTGTAAAGTGTAGATTGAAAATGTTAGAAACACATATTCATTATGTACGTTTTAAACACTAAATAACTGATTTTATCATGATTGAGTGACAGTTTAATATTGCTGCAAATATCCCTTCTGTTTCTACAGTGTCTGCGTGAGATGAATAACATGATTAAGACGGGCAGGTCACCCAACAAGCGATCCCGTGCGGTGTCGTTGGATAGAGAAAAGGAGGAGGAAGAAGATGGTCCTTCGGCTAAGAGGCTTCGTTCGGTCGGTCTGTCGGCCTGGCATAGGCGACTAAGGAATGTGGAGAACGATCGCCTGACAAGACGGGACCGGGACCAGCCATCTTCAGTTACGAAGCCTAACCAGCACTAGAGCAGAGAGGAGCGTGTAGTCACACTCTGCTCCTGTTTCTGACACTGTAACAACAATGTCAGGTGTTAGAGGGAAAGCACAGGGCAGCTTTGTCTTCCTTTACAGGTATTTTATAAGAATCCCTTTGGGCCACATTCATTGTCAGCTCTAAAGTGTTGTCTGCAGTCTCAGCTATGCGTTTCTGCTGTTTTGCTCTGCACTATCTCAGACACCTACTGTCTGTCCTTGTACGAGGCAGTTAACCCTCAGCTCAGTAGCCAATGGTAGAAGATTGTAGTCGTCCTGGGCAGCTCCCCAGTGGAAGTGTATGATGTTGTATGAATATGAAGTAGGTCATGGCTGTGAAGTGCTAAGTTGACATTCCTTGGATAAATAAAGGTTAGACTGAGAAAGGATGTTACCAACTGCAGTTAAAACTGTGGGATAAGGACATGTCAGGCTTCAACATGGCCTTCGTGAATACCTGATATCTAATTGACTAGATTCTGATTAACTGAGGGATGATACTAAGTGTTCATGTAAAGCTATTTTAATGTGTTTTCCTTTGTTTTATCCTGTAATGATGCTTTCTTAAATATATTTAAAATTTTAAAAGACAAGCTAAGTGTTTAAAACATAGTGAAACAGTGATTTTTATTTACCACTTCACACGAATGAAGGCAAAGTGCAGACGTTACAGAAACATGACAGATTTGAGAAACAACTGTGTGAATACTTTCAGATCATCGACTCCAGCCATTATTGATTGCAACCTAAAAATCAGTTATTCAACATGATGTTAATCAGCAAAATTGCATACATTTATCTCATATATTCTGTTTCTAACATATTTTTTTTGTTAAAATAAGACAATTAATTATTTATAAGATGAGTTTCTGTCATATGTCCTGAAGCCAAAGGGTCTGTAAATGTTCTTAAAAGATGTTAAATCGAAACACAATTATTTTATAGTGTCACCATAAAGTCTAGTTTTTGGAAAGCAGTGTTAAATAAACATACATTTGATTAAACTGTATGTCTGTACTGTATAACATTCTTCCTAATTAATTAATTAATTGTTTTTTTTTGGGGGGGGGGGTTGCCTTTTATTTTGATAGAAAAACTGAAGAGAGTGAGAGGAAATGTGTGCGTGAGAGAGAGAAGGGATGACATGCAGCATTGTGGGAAAGTTGGTAACCGTGGCTGCCCTGTGATTGACACACAATCCCATCAGTGTTTATCAGTAACCGTGTTTTGGCACGCTACGCTCAGTTAATTGTCAACCAATGTTGCTTAGGTAATTACAGTAAGGCAGGACAGCTGGCAGACAAAGGCTCGTAAAAAATAAAACCAACACACAGTCAGGAGCCCAAACTCAACAGGAAGTTTAGAGGTTGCCATAGGGAACAAAGGCACCTGAGCCCACAACAGGAATACAGGTTTTAAGGTTATGACAAGTCTTGTAACACTCTATATGCAACTGGACTCCCGTCAGCTGTACAGTGCGCTGTAGACTCTTAGATATCGCCAGATCATGGGTTGCAACACGAGCCAGGGTGCCACAGTGGTGGACCCTTCTGAAAAGCCAGAGGAGAGGCCGAAGACAGCCACTTCCATCAAGGAGGTGTCTGCAGAGGAAACCAATACAAGAGATGAAGCCAAGGATGAAAAAACGGAGGGTTCCAGCTGAGTGCCATCTTTATGTCTTAACTCTTCTCAAAGTAAGACAGTTGACAAATTACCTGAAAACTATGTGTTCTTTTCCCCACCGTTTTTCCTTTTCATACAATCTCAAATATTCACAGTCAACATGAAAAATGTTTTCCCATTTTACATTTTCAAGCTTATCACTGGAACAAGGATATAGTTAGTACCTCACCATAAAGCAAGCAATTTATGACCATTGCATTGGGGTCACTTTGATACAATCACCTCTATAACTTGACCGCCGTGTCTCTGTGAGGCTATTTGACATGACAAATGGGCTGTGTGGTGACTGAGATAGGTTCTGTGTGTCTGTGTCGCAGTGTGTACAGATTGGCCTGTCCGGGGTGAAGGAGGGCCTGTCAGCAGGAGGAGGCGACGCTGCACTACTGTCCATCAACCTCTGAGTCATCTGGGCCAGCCACACACACCAATAATACACACACTTCCATTATGCCATTATGTTTATTTTCCAGACATTATTCTGTGATAAATATACAGATTCAATCTCTGTGTTGTGTTTTTGTGTACCTGTGTTGCCTTTCTATTTTTTTCTAGCCTTGGTTTAGATCTTTGTAGAGCCCCCTGCGGCGTGCTTTGCATCGCCTTTGTTCGTTATATGTTTATTCTCCTCTCCTCCTCTGAAGCGCTCACACACCTCTGGTCAGAGCTGATAGTTACAACACACCCTTTCAAACGCTTCCAATTCTGCTGCAGGCTAAAGCAGCAACCCTTTAAGATAGTCAGCTTATGTTTCAGCTGTGGATACCTTGCAGCTCTGCAGCATGCTCTGCATATCAGAAGACTGTTACTGCTGTTCATTTGAACAGTCAGAGACAGTGAGTGCTTTATACAGCAAATAATGAAATGCTGCCAAGAGTTGGGCTACAAAAATGTTCAAGCACTTTCCAGACTTTGCCGCCAGGGGGCATTGACAAACTGAAGTAGTTCAATCTGCCGCCAGCAGGGTGCAGAAGTGATCTTTCCACGTTGCCATGAGACATCTAATGCTGGATCCATTTGCTGAAGACATTTAATCTGAAATGTAGGTTGTAAGTTTATTACCAGCTAGTGAATGGAGCTGGAATGGAATAGCCATTTCACAAAGCCATATCAAAAATACCCATCTCAGAGGCAGTGGGAAATTACATGAAAATATTACCATTATACAAATGGAAAGTGTGATTGAATAATGTGCTGGAGAAAATAAATGAAAAGCACTTTGTTGGAAAACCTGGTACTAAATAGGTTTTTAATTTCAGTAGTGGGATAAAAGAAGCACATTTTTACCCCATTTCACTGCCAATTGATTAGTGGTTCCACATCTGCAGATATAGAGGGGGCCTTATCGTCTCATTATCAGTTAATTAATATGCATGCACACATGCCAATTATCTTTCCTCTGCCATTTAGCAGAAATGAGACATTGATGTTTTAATGGTGCCGGAATGGATAACTCCTCTGTTGCCTTAAAGACAAGACAGGCACATTGATTGACATAGGCGGGAAATGTTAAGAGAGACAATTGAATTAAGAGCAACCTGAAAGACTTGATAATTATATTAATACTTCCTTTCAAACTTCCTTTCCAGGAGCCTGTGATCTAGCAAAGTTTTTTTTTTTGATAAACTCTCCTGAAAAATACAAAAAAGGGCAAGTCTACGGTGCAGTACATATACGTATATATACTGCACCGTCAATGAGAATCCATTATGGAAACATTTTATTTGAAGGACATGCAGAATAGCAAGCTATTAAATTTTTCCACTGTGCCATGACTATTAAAGGACCCAAGGCCACACCAAGTGAAGCAAACCCAACATGAAAGTTATATTAATCATAATTCGGTTTACTGTATTGTGTGCACTGAATTTATGTTCATGAGTCACCGGCCAGTGTTATGTGCCAGTGAAATAGGCAATATTATGGAAGGAAGCACTATTGACATTTTTCATTTCTGCATAAATGCTCTTGGTTGCACATTAAGCCCAAGGCTGTTAGTTTTTTTTTATCAGTGCTCTTTGAGCTCAATGGCACAATGCTATAATGTTGGGGGGGGGAGATAGAGCTCTTCCAGCTAAATCCAAACCTAGGATCTGTAACATTTCCCCACATAAAACAACACAGAGGACGAACTTGTGTCACTGAAGGCAGCTGCTTACAGGATTGTGCCAAAAAAACAGAAGAGGGCAAAAAGAAAATGAGAAGGAGAACTAAAAACAACTCTCCAGGGTGTAATCTCCTTACTCCATAATGGACCATTTATATGATATGTATAATGGGCTGCGACAAATATTCACAAGTAGTGGTCTTATTTTCAGTCAGCCACTCTTTAAAGATGTGTTCTTCACAGGGTATCTTTTTGTGAATATATGATCAGAGGCACGACAGCCCTCGGTCTTTAATCTTACACTGGCCTTGAAGAATGTCACTGATTCCACCACCACCACCTCCGCCTCTACCCCCGCCACCACTGCAGGCTACAGAGACCATCCTATTCACACTGCGATGCAGCAGCGCTTCTCTGGTTGTTTAGAGGGGTTCTTTATTTTGAGTAAAATCACCAGATATTCATAAAAGCTTGTCACAACCATCTGATCCTGAAGTCTCACTAAGGCCTTTGGAGTGCTGGTTCATAAACAGTTGATTGAACACAAATAAAAAAAGCTCCTTCAATAAACTGCCCCCACCTTTAAAAAAAAAAAAATTGTTTTGTTGACCTTCCTGAAAGACATCCCATTTCAATGTCAGGGCAATGTTTACGCAGACATCTTCTCAATGTTGAAGTGATCTGCAGGCTGGTCACTTTAGATGTTGTCATATAATATGTGTTTGGTTTTCCTTATGTCTGGAACATAGCTATTTTACATCACATACCTGGACATCACTACTTTGATCTTTGGTTTCTGCGCAGGATAATTCTAATTATGCTATTAGCCTCTGCTGAGCATTTCAACTTCTTTTTTCCGTATTATGGCTGAAGAGACCTTCTACATTTCAGCAACAAGGAAATGCTATTTAGTGATGAAGCTTGAAGACAATCTGAAACTTTATTCCATGACAGTTTTAAAAACATCTACTGCCATTAATGTAGTGACACTTGTTAGATCAGCTGTCTGCCCACACAGCACCGGGATCAGCTGGTCATCTTAACTGTTATAACAGTCATGATGACTGGTCAGAATGTTTTGGGTATTTGAAGTTTTCTAATGTGTATATACACTCTGTGGTCACTTTATTAGGTATGCATGTAAAAGCTAGTGTAATCCTGAGTCCGGTTTTAACGTCTATCTTCAGGAAGCTCACGATGTTCCATTTTTTGTGACATTGTTGGAAATGTGTCAATTCAATTATGCTGATTACTTATGTCAGTTAGAGGTGGTGTTGTACTATGTGATATTTTTTGTTCTCCCTAGGAACACCTCTTAATATAATGCAGTCCAGTACAACACCGCCGATAATACCTGAACCTAATCTGAACATTATAGGCATCATAAAAGCAGACTTTATGGCAGAAGTTGTATTGGATTGCATTAGAGTGTACAGGAGTACCTAATGAATATTTCTTTATTCAAAACACACAGTGCACAGCGGAGACTAATTTGGTTTTAGTTACACTATGACACTACACAAGGTTTTCATATGGATATGAAATTGATGCATATCAGCAAGTTGAATGCATCGTTTCATACAGTCTATTAGCTGGGAGCAAAGTTAGGTTTATAAATCAGCTTCCAGACTAAACAAAGCAGAAATCAGCTAGTTTAGCAATTGTTTGGGAAGAATGCAAATAATACTAATTTAATAACCTGGATCATCTCACTGATAAGTTAGAGTTCAAATGTGCACCATAGAAACTACAGCACACAGTGAAGTAGCTGAAGTAGTTATAAGCAAGACAGTGCAAAACAAATGAGAAGCTGGCTACAGGTTTCACTTTGTATACACTGAATTTAATCAATTTATCCTAAACGATGTGAAATGGGTATGTTGTGTTTCACTCAGTCAGTGCCTCTCTGCTGCGAGCAAAAAAGCCATCATGTAATTTTAAGAGAAAAAGTCACAGGAAACACTGGTGATTTATTTGTTGTGTTGTCCATTAGACTCTCCTTTTAGTGCACAGTAAACAATAGCAACTCCACAAAGTTTTTTTTGGAAATTATAGTATTTTTATGATCTGAGGAGTTGCTTAATGGAGCACACATCCAAAAAGGTAATCTCCTTGAACTATGGGGAAAATGTCCCTGGAGCAAAGCTGCCCACAATCCATCTACCCACTGCTTCCAAAAGGGTTCACTCAAAGTCGACCGCAAATGAATACAGGGACTGAAATATCTTACCATTAAGTTTTTTTGTCAAATGTCATAGCAATGAAAAGTCTGTAGGACACTGCAAATAGATTATGAACGAGTGGAAAACCCTATAAAGTCCTGAAGGCAAATATGATTTAGCTGAAGATAAAGGTCAGGGCGCTGGAAGAGAGATAGAGGGAGGCATGTGGACAAGGATGACTTGATTATCCTGGATGGGAGCACAAAGAGACATGTCCTTTTGCAACAGGGTTCGAAGAAATACCATCTTCTAATAACAGGAGCAAAAGTGCCAGCTATAAATGTTTGAAAATTCATATTAGTAAGTGAATTCCTTAAAAAAGTACTGAATGATGCAAACCACACACATGTCAACTTACAACTGATGTTTGTGTAATTTATAATAACTTAGCAATTAAAATTATTAAAATTGAAATAGCATCAACTGAAATTATTCATTATCCCAGGGTCAAAGTGGGATTACCTGGATAACTAAAGACTTATAATGATGGTACTTTTTTTTTTAATTTTGAGATATTGGTATGTGCAACTAATATTCATCTTTAAATTATAGATAAATGTTTGAGTCAATCCAGTTTGCAGTGTTTCTGTATCTAATGTGTTCCAAAGCGAGAGGAAAGTGACTCTGAGACCTGCCAAGTCATTACTGTTTGTATAACTCATTGCAGTAAAATGCAAGAGCTTAGTGGCAGCTGAAAGCCTTCTGTATGGTTGTGTGCACAATGTGGATGTGTGCATGCTCGCATGCTGCGTACATGTAGAGTAATGCCTTTCAAAGAAAATGGTGAAAATAGGAAATTGTACTCTAAATGTCATTCATTCAGCTCGGATGTCGGGGTGACCTTCAGCAGAATGTGCTCTTCCTATTGTGACCGTGGACAAGTGGGCTCTGCAAAATATCAAATTTGATAAGAGTCGGCGTGAGTCGGCGTGAAAGCAAATGTGTGATGGTAGCCACAGTATAGTCAGTATGGGTAGAGATGGGGCTGTGTTATCTACATGCATGGAAGGATACTCTTGTGTATTATAGGTGTTGTATCGTTTTGCTCATCAGATTACTTTTGTGAGTACAATGATAATCAATACACTACATACAGTACTAAAATTGGCATGTTTAAACTACAAAAGAGCTCACTTAGCTCAAAGCCAATAACACCAACAAACCAAAGTGCAAAGGGTA